ATTGAAGTCTCCGGTTTGGGAACATTTTGGTTTCGCAGTTACGTACAAGGATGACGGACAAAGACAGGTGGACCGAACCAAAGCTGTTTGTCGGCATTGTTAAACTAAAATTGGTTACGCGGCTGGCAATACATCAAACTTGCACACTCATTTGAAAAGGCATCATTCACCCGAACGTGAATATCACCGGTACCAAAAGAAAAAAGACTAAAGAGTAAACCCAACTCCCGCTAGCATTTAAGCCTCCACCACTCGCAAAAAGTTCAGACCGAGCCAAAGCTATTACAAACGCCAAATATCCTTATGTTGCCATGTTAGCAAAGCGCTACCTGGCTGTATCGGCTACCTCTGTCCCTAGAGAGGGTGTTCTCCACAGCAGGAGACATTGTTAGTGCCAGCAGATCTGCCCTTTGGGCAAGCAATGTGGACAAGTTCATTATTCTTTAAAAAAACATGAAATGACAAGCAAGCAAGTCATAATGTCAAACTGGCTGTTTAGGTACTAGTACAGTACAGTTCAAATACAGATTATTTCAGTTCATCGAAATGCTGCACCTTAATGTTTATTTTATTATATTTTGTATTTATTTGAGTGAATACATTATTCACAGTTTAATAATAATTAAAAAAATATATATAAAATGATAATTTTTTCTGCCGAACCGAACCGTGACCTAAAAACCGAGGTACGTACCGAACAGAAATGTTTGTGAACCGTTACACCCCTAATGTTTAATGATTATGTGAGTATGTTTCAAAATTGGTCATTCCCTCTGATATCATGAATCATATTGCAATTACAAAGCAGTGAAACAAATTTGCAATCTGTTTTCTTTTTACAAATCATGCAACCTTTCTAACATACTTTTAGGTGTACTTTTATTACTAGTGTTTTTCAGGCCAGTAAATGTAACGTATTCTTGAGTTTGAACCTTAATGATTGTGAGTCTTAAGTCTCATTAACATCTGAAAAACATAATGATAAACGCATCTCCCCTCTCCCTTTCCACAACACCCAACAACCAGGAACCGATAGCTCCTTCAGAAAGTGTTTATAAGAAACATAACTGAATCAGTCCACCTCTTCCTTCCTCTTCAGTTTATTTCTGTGTAACTAAATATACCGCTCCTTCCCTCTTCCCCAGGACCTTCAACCCAGCGGACTACACCTCAGAGTCCGGATCAGGGGGTGCACAGGGTGAGATGTGGGACACAGCGGGCGCCAACAGCACAGATGGCACAGGTGTGCTTTTTAGAACTGATATGCTCTCCAGCTGTCATTTAGGCTTGCCACGGTAGTCTAGTTGCTACCAACGATCTTGCAATGACATTACTACCTAGTGTTGTTTTGCTTCTTTTTATATTTGAATGAAAATATTCCATGCAGGTCATTTTTGTTTATCAGTGCTTGTGTTCAACAAATAAATAAATAAAAACCTCACTACTCGGCCTCTCTGCTCCGTGCAGCGGCAGGGTTGCCTCACATGGTAGCCAGACTCAAATGTATTTTAGAAAAAGGTTCACATGGCGCTAACCTGTTTATCCCGCCTGTATTTGAATTCTGTGACTCATCATCTGTTTCTCTCTAGTTACCTGGAGACATACCTTGGAGGACTGGGCGTCTGAGGACTGGAGTGAGGATGTCAGTGTGAGTTGAGACTGTTGCAGCAGAAGTCTGTAGATCACAGTAACAATGTTGTGGTGTTTGTTTTTCAACAATGTCTCCTGTGTTTTTGTTTGTTTAGCTATCGGAGACCAAAGTGTTCACCGCCTCATGTGCACCTGCTGCTGAGAACCACATCACACCTGGGCAAAGGTAGCTAAAACCAGCTCAATTATAGCATTATAAATTGGCCCTGATGTTTCATTGTCGTGCAACTTCAGAATAATTACAGACTATTATTTGCTACGAATTGCTAAGTAGTTATTTTATACTAATCTAAAGCTATGTTAGCAATGAAGGAATACCTTTACTTGACAAACTATAGAGGTGTATTGCCATTGATAAATCATTGCCATTTAGAATGTACTTGTATCTATTAATAACCCATTACATTGGCAACGGTTGACTCCCGCGAGCCCTTTCTAACTGTCTGTACTGTACTACAGTCTGGACCTCGCCTCTCTGCTGCAGAAGCCTGTGGGCGGAGGAAGAGAACCACCTTCGTCCTCTTCCTCTCAGAGTCTGGTCTTCACCAACTCCCACCACCACCACCACCACCACCAGCCACCGCAACAACAGCAGCAACAGCCCCCCCCCGGCCGCAGCACCACCAGCAGCACAAGCTACGCTCATGCTGCTCTGGTAATAAAAATATTTCTTTTGATTTGACACATTCCTTTCATCTGTCACATGGAAATGAACCCATACACACAAAGACTGATGATTACGCCCTCTCCTCCCATGTGTGCCAGTCGTCAGTTCTGGGAGCTGGTTTTGGGGACCTGGGCCAGGCCAAGAGGCCGACGCCCAGCGCTGGAGCTCAGATACTGGAACAGCTGAAGGGTCCTGGCCTGGGTCCGCTGCCCTCGGCCCAGGCGGCGCCTCCTTCCAGCACCCAAGGGATCAACCCCTCAATGGGCCGACTGCCAGGCCTGGGAGCACCTGTACCTCCTCCCTCCTCATCCAGCTGGGACATCAAGGCATCAGAATCCAACTCCACCTCACTGTCCTCACAGTTCAGCCGTGAGTCTGGCCATCATGCTGCATTTTATGTTTCAACATTATTAGTTTGAGTCTTAATTTAGCAAGGACCATGCATGATACATCTCAATAAGAGAAGAGATGATGTTTGTCAGTTAGAAGCATTTTCCAGTATATGAACAAAGGCACGTGTAGTGTTTGTAAACCCTGTCCTATGTTTGTTGTGTGTCTGCAGGTGAGTTTGGCCTGCAGCCCGAGCCCTCTCTTGTGCTGAGTCATCTGGTCCAGAGACATGCGGGCCCCTCCCTGCCTCTGGCCCGTCAGCCCAGTCCTCCATCGCAACACCAAGCGCCCCCTGCTTCCACCTCGCCCGCCCCCCACCTCACCGGCCCCCTGGCACAGGCAGGCCAGGCGATGGCTGCTGGTGCTAAACCTCATGCCCCCGGCGCAGGGCTGGACCCTCAGGGCGGCAACACGCCACAGCAGCAACGGGCGCAGCTCAAAGTCCAGAAACGAAGGATACCTCCATCATCAAAGGTACTGCAGGGGGCTGAAGGTGTTGGACAGAGAGTTGGGATATCTCTTCAATTCAGCTCCAGTAGTTATGACTACAAGATATTATGAATAGATGCTACATTTCACTTTTAGGGTCATGAAATGAGTATGGAATGACGTTGATGACAACAGTATTCCTCCATCCTACCACCAACATGTTGGGGTTCTAGATTGAGCAAGTCAGAGTATAAACAGTTATCAATGATAATTCATATTGAATATATTCATAAACTCATTCATAGGTTGATAACTGGAACTACAGTTAAGTTGTTGCATTAAAATGTCTAACAGAAGGAACTACTAATCATCAGAATAATTCTTAATTGTTTTATTTATTACAAATATTGTAAGAAGTACTAGTCTACTTAATTTACATCAAATCACATATCAGAGGTACAACCTCCTAAATGGTCATATAAAATAGATAGTTTGGTACGAACCTAAAACCCTAACCCTGACTGTTTCCCCCCCTCCCCCCGGCAGATTCCCGCCACAGCGGTAGAGATGCCGGGCTCGGCTGAAGTCCCGGGTCTGAATCTCCAGTTCGGAGCGCTGGACTTCGGCTCGGAGTCGGCAATGCCCGAGTTCGGAAATGTCGAAAATTGTGTGAGCCAATCCAGGGAGTCCACCCCGGCCCCCGCCCCAACTCTTCCTGCACCAGGACCAGGCATCCAGAGCCAGACCAGCCTGTACTCCAAACCGCTCAGGTACTGTCGCTGCTGACCCGGGACGTACCAATACCAGAAATGTAGAAGTCAAAACCAATAAAAGTCAACAATTGCGGTAAAAAACCAAAACTAAAACTAAACAAAGTTGATTACTAACTTTTTGTTATAAGGTCAAAGATTGCATCGATTACATTTGAACACATCGTAGTAGAGTTAAGATGTACCTTGGCACCAAAGTACCGGTTCTAGTTAAACCCTTACTGCTGATTGATTAGTTTCCTCTCAAGTGAATGATATTACAGAAACGATGGTTTTTGAATAAAGTCAAACTTTTTATCTGACGAGTTGTTCTCCTCTCACTGCTGTCCCGCAGTGAGTCGCTGGGCAGCCCCCTCTCCGTCGCCCTGCCTCTGCCCCTCTCCTCAG